TTCAGCAAATTCTGCTGATTTTTTAACTGCTGTTTTTAAACAAGGAAAGTTAATTTCCATATAGTATATGGAAAATAGAATAGAAACAAAACACTGCTGCTAAATCATCATGATCCTGTAAACTAAATTAAATTAGAAGTTTAAATAACACTCACCTAGATGTGCTGGCGCTCAGAGGAGGAAGAAAAGTGAGAATCATTCAAATACTGTTCACATACACCGCCCATTGCTCCACCCCGTACAGTGATTCATATCTCATGAGTGGATGACCGCATGAAGATAGATTAACTAATGTTTCCACTCAGACAAATAACGGAGAAAATCTCATGAGCACAAGAGACAAAATCAGAAAGTCCCATCAGAGACTGAAATATGATATGTGTGACAACCCTGTCTGTCCTACATCATACCAAGACGACTTGTGTGAACTAGTTCCCCTGGTTCTTCAGACTGTGTTGAAATATCCACAATGACACACTGTACAGGCAGACAGTCTGTGTTATTGACCAGACAGTCGTCATCTGCCCTCAACAACAGCATTTAAATATGACTTACAGGTTACTGTATCTTAGAGCAAAGCGATAAGAAGGAAATGGTGTTTGGTTTCTTGGTTACAAAATGTCTCTGTCACCATCTGCTGGTAAACATCACTAGTCCTATTAATATACCTGATTTGTGTTCTGAAACCATAGACTGTGTATAAAGCTGGACGACATGACAGCTCTCTAGCATCTTGATCACCACATAGTGGCTGGCTGCAGGTTAAGCCATTAATCCTGCCACCTCCGTGTTAGTGGATGGGACATGTCAAAAACATGTATCTCAAAGATGGTTTCATTTTAGGCAGTTCTTTTTTTATTTGTTTGAGAGACTAGGCCTACCCCTGTTTCATACGATACTAAGCTCTTCCTGTTCGTACCTCTTCAATCTTGTTGCAACAGATTTTTTCTCACTTTCTTTTCCCATTTTCTAATCTCTCATTTTCACTAACTCTTCAACATTAATAATTTCTCTCCTATAGCACAGCTTCTTTCCAACCCCATCTGCTTGCTCTCTGTGTGACTGCATTGTCTCTTCCCTTGGTAATCTTTGGACCAGTGGATCTGAGAGGAGCTGAAGTGAGGTGATCTGTAGGATTTTAATGCTAGGAACTGAACTTTCTGCAAGGTTAATGGATATAACTTTACATGTAAAAATGAGAGAGAGTCTAGTGTGACTTTAAAGGAAGGTTCTTATTTCACCCATGTTTGTTTGTGTTTGAGCAAGATTACACCAAACCTACAGGACGAATCCCCACGAAACTTGGTGGAAGGATGTGGTATGGGTCAGGGAAGAATCCGTTAAATGTTGGTGTGTATCTGGACCGGG